CATTTTCCTGCATTTATTTCCATCAGTTCCTGTGCCTTGATTTCAATGTCAAAAGGGCCTTCATTCTGAATGAAATGTCTGTATTGACTCTGTCCTGTAGTATCTGCCCAGCTGTCCCACGGTTCGCTCTTTGCAGATTATGGCAGACTGCTGGTGATCCATCAGCTCAACTCTCGTTTTACCCTGAAGTCAGTGCTGTCTTTGTTCTAGAATGCATTGTTTCCATATCAGAACATTTCACTTGCTAACTTTTCATGTATGTATTATCACTTTTATTTGGTGTCAAGTCTCAGGCTATTTCTTACTAAACAGCCTGGGTTTAATTTCAGCCCTGCTTATCATATTTCTCATTGATCTTCAAGGCCTCTCTTCTTCCTTGTATTGTACTTGTTTTCCTCGAGCAAAGTGGGTGTATAGATAACTGTTATTTGCCTGGGCATTGTTATTTAGGAAGAATTTTGTGATGTGAGAGTGGAAAGCATTAATTAGAATTTGAGTTCTGCATATACTATCAAGCTAATATTAAAACTGCTTTAGATAGAAGGTAGGGTGTGGGTCTTACTTCCCTTAATCTTAACCTTGGGAGACAGAGGTAGGTAGTTCCAGGCCAACCTAGTCTACAAAGCCGGTTCCAGGCTAACCAGGGCTACACAGTGAGACCTTATCTCAAACATCAACAAACTACAAAAACAACTTTAGAAGGACTTGATTTATTTTTTACATTATGTTACTCCTTAAGAAATTCTGAGTTGAATCCAGTGACATGAATCAAAGTATTCTTATATAAAAGTTTTAAATGTATCTATGATGAAATTGTGGAATACAGAAATTGTTTATATAAAAGATGTACCATAACTGTTAATATTTTTCTTCCCAATTATTTTCCATTAACTGTAAATAAGAAATTTTAGTCATGTTGAGTGAAGTATTCTGATAATTATATTAAATGATAAATATAAACCATCCCAAATTATATTGATATTTTATACCAACAAATGTTCATGCTTTGCCTTTTTTGTTCTTTTGACTTTGGTTTCTGTTGTAGAATATTATTTTAAGTGTGTTACTTTTGTTTATGTTGCATTTGTCTAACTGTGAAGCTATGTTACTGTGCCTGTCTAAAACACCTGATAGTCTAATAGAGAATTGAACCTGAACAGTCAATAGCAAGGCAGGAGAGAGGATAGGCGGGCTGGCAGGCAGAGAGAATATATAGAAGGAAAAATGTGGGAGGAAGAAGTATCCAGAGAAGGAGGAGGACATCAGGAGCCAGCCACCCAGCTACAAAGGAAGCCACAGAATAAGAAATAATAAAAGTATGCAGAAGTAGAGAAAGGTAAAAGCCCAAAGGCGAAAGCTAGACAGGATAATTTAAGTAAAGCTGGTTAGCAACACGCCAAGCTAAGGCCAGACATTTATAATTAAGAATAAGCCTCCGTGTATGATTTATTTGGGAGCTGGGTAGCAGGCCCCCTAAAAGAACAAAAACAAACAACAACAGGTTTCCTACCCTTTTTATTTTTGAATATCCTTGGGAGGCCTGGAATTCAGAGATCTCCCTGACACTGCTTCCTGAATGCTAAGGTCAAAAGATGTGCCACTGTGCCCAACTCTTTTTATATATTTGCTTAATATAGTCAGCCAGTATTTATAAGCCATAGCTTATAGTTCTGTCTTGTAATAATGCAGCAGGTAGATAATTATAGTTGTACAGAATGTATTTTATTCTCCTGACTCATTTCTTGGATTTGGGATATTTGTTTTTTTATATTCCTTCTTGTACATCATGGTAGGATAAACAGCTTTTTATATGGAATTTTTTATGTTTTGCGGTTTCCCCTGGGATAATGTACCTGAAATAGAATTTTATAATAATGAGTGGTGTGTGTGTGTGTGTGTGTGTGTGTGTGTGTGTGTGTGTGTGTGTGTGTAGAGAGGGGTCGGGGGAGAGATTGATTTTGGGTGTATATTGTCAAATTACTTTCTGAGAGATTTCTGTCAGTTCTCAAAATTTTTACCTCTTTGTTAATGGTGAGTATAATTCATACACTCAACTAACTGTTTTCTGGAGAAATCTCTTTATATGTATTTGATTCATTGCTTTTCAACATTTATCATTTTTGTTTCTTATTTTTATTGTACATTTGTCTGTCTCTTAATGCTTTTGTTTATTTGTGATAAAGGTAGAGTTGATCAATATTAAATTTTTCTTAATTTTTAATTAATGTTATACTTTTCATTTGTTTTTATTTCTATGTATGAAAACTTCATTTTTTAATATATATCAGATTATTCATTTTTTTTTTCTTAGTTTTTCAAGACAAGAGTTTCTCTGTGTAGCTCTGGCTGTCCTGGAACTCACTCTGTAGATCAGGGTGGCCTTGAATTCACAAAGATTTGCCTGCCTCTGCCTCTCGAGTACTGGGATTAAAGGCATGTGCCACCACAGCCTGACAGATTATTCATTCTATGTACCTCTGTTTTCTGGAAGCTAATAAATAGTTACTTGTGTGGATATTGAATTGTAGTTTTTGATCCTTCCCCCACCCTCTCTGTAGCATAAAATATACTTTTCCATTGTCTTTTAACATCCTTTATTTTATAAGAAATTTGGTGTTAGTTTCTTTTTCCTTTTCAGATAATCTTTTATTTATTTTTAAGCTCTTTTTTTAGGATAAAATTTTTTAATTCTAAATAAGTATATATTCATATCTTTATTCTCTGGTAAGACTAGATAGGGTTTAGAAAAGTCTGAATTGTGTATTTCTTCTTGTTTGAAAACTAATTTTCCTTCATTATTGCTGGTCTCTTATTCTGAAATTTCTAATTGATGGCTGTTAGGCCATCTGAGCAGATCTTTTCATTTGTGTTTAATATTTTATGTCATTTTTATGGTCTGCTTTTTCATTGTTTTCTTATTTACTGATACCCTTTTTTATTGTGCTAGTGCCTATCCAACTAGTCATCTTCTTTGAGAAGTTTCCCCATTGGTAAATTGATGAAAATTGCTCTTCTGTTCTTGCTCTTTCCACTTAATTAGATAATCAAGTTTTCCTAGGAAAGTTGTTGATAAGAGTTCCTCACAAAGTAAAACGTGGAAGAAAACATTTGATTCAAGAGCAATACACACACTGAACAACAATGAGGATGTGTCCATAAAACTTATATATGCATTCATAGTAGGAAAAAAGATAGAAGCACTTGGCGTATCCATTAACACATATATTTATAAACGAATGTGGTATAATAAATGCCTACCACAGGTATTATTAGCCTTGTCCTAATCAGTGTTCTATTGCTGTGAAGAGACACCATGACTGTGGCAACTGTTATAAAGGAAAACATTTAATTGGGTCTGGCTTACAGTTTGGGGGGTTTAGTCCATTATTTTCATGACAGGGAGCCTGGCAGCCATACAGATGGACATGGTGCTGGAGAAGATTAAGAGTTCTACATCCAGATCTGCAGACAGCACGAAGAGAGGAAGAGCCACTCACTAGGTCTAACTTGGGCTTTTGAAACTCCAAAGCCTACACCCAGTAACACCCACTCCAACAAGACATCACCTCCTAATCCTTTCAAATAGTGCCACTTCCTAAGCATTCAAATGAATGTACCTGTGGGAGTCATTCTTATTCAGACCACCGAAAGCCTTGAAAGTCGTGTTTGTGAAAGAGTCTCATTACCAAAACCCATGTGTTATATAATTTCATTTGTGTACCAATTGTCCAGAATGGGGAAAAATATAGACAAAATATGCATTAGTAGTTATTGAAGGTGGAATGTGAGGTGCTAGAGAGATTTGGTTTTGAAGAGTATTGACTTTTTGTTCTGAAGTTGATCGTGGCGACAGTTGCACAAAAGTGAATATAATACACACAGTTGGGTGGTACATTAAGTGAGTTAATTGGTGGCCTGTGGATGTATGTGTGTGTGATGTAAGTTCTTTGTTTGTTTTGTTTGCAGTGTAGCCATTGGCCTTAGGGTCTCCCATGTGCCTGGCAAGCTCTCTGCCACTAAGCTGTCTTCCCAGCCCATTATTTCTATCTTAAAGCTGTTAGGAGAAAAGAAGGAAGGCGGGAGGGAGTGGAAGGGGAAATAGGAAGACTGAGGGACAGAAAGAAGTAGAGAGAACAACCTGAGCACATTACTTAGTCCTGGGTAGTCCAGGAATCTTTACATTGTTCTTAGAAGAGTTTTTGTATGACAGATAAAACTTTCAAATTTAACACTGAGCTTCAGGTGGAAATAGTTTTACAAATACAGCACTTACAGCACATATTTTACTGTGTCTTCCTTTACTACCTATCCAATATTATTGTGTTGCACCTTTGAAATTCTGTTCTAATTTTCAATAATGTTACTGTTATATAAAGCATAGTTTTTGAAATTCAGTAAGATGTGAAATGAGAAGTAAACACCTGCTTCCTCGTCTATTTTGAATTGTAAAGATATAATTTTTAGGTCTTTCATAATGATTGCAAGGACATTTTTTTTTTTATCCTGTAGAAAATCCTTGTGTGAATAAGGGGAAAATACTCATTTTTTAAGTTTTATATAATTCTCAAATTAGAAGTCTGTTGGGTTTTTGGTTATATTTTGTTTTGCTTTTTGAGACAAGGTCTCCTGTAGCTCAGACTGCCCTTAATCTTGCTATGTCACCTGAGTAACCTTAGATTCTGACTTCCTGTCTTTATCTCCTGGGATTACAGACATACACCATCCCATCCAGCAGGATTCTAGCTTTGAATAGCCAATTTGCCATATGTGACCTTCATTTGGCAAATCTGTTAATTTTATTTTATGGTCTAGTTAGTATAATGGCTTAGTTTAGATAGTACATATTTTAGATTCTTAATGTTATGTGTTTACAGAAGAAATTTATTCATTTTTTGAATGCAAATAAATGATTTTAGGATTCTACTAATTATATTTTAATTAGAATTTACAGTTTGTGAAAACTGGCATATGCTAATTTACCTTCTGTGATTTCCTTGTAGGTTTGATGAACTTGTAAAAAAATTCAAAGTTGAATATCATGCTGGTGGCTCTACCCAGAATTCAATTAAAGTGGCTCAGGTTGGTTAATTATATTAAAAATTAAAATAAAAATGTTTCAAAATGATTCTAAACTTTTGGTTGTATTACATAATTTTTCCCATTTACTTTTAATGTTACAAAAACACTTTTGTTCATTTTCACTTGAGTCTTTAACAACACATCTAATAAAAATAATTTTGATTCTTTCTTTGATAAGCTTAGAAAGAATTCAGTATATTTATTCATTGCTTTTATTTTTTTTACATCTTATTGGTTTGGAGAACTTATTTCATGGATAACCATAGTTTTTATTTATAAGTGAAATGTTTTTCTTATTTGTTAATTGTATCTGATTTTGCTTATAATATCAACTACTTTGCCCCATTCATCTCTCTGTCCTCAGTTCAATCCCTGTACAGTCTTGTCTGGACTAGGAGGGCCTAAAACTTCTGGCAACCTACTTGCTTTTGCCTCTGGAGCACTGGAATTACAAGTGTATACCACTAATGTGATTTAGAAATTTTTCATTTTATAGAGGTGATTGCATGCACCTGTAATCTCAGGTATTTTATACGCTGATTCAGGAGGATCATGAATGTGAGGCCAGCCTGGGAAACAGTGTAACCCCATTTCCAAACAAAACCTTATGGGTTTTTCATTTTATGTGATGTATAGAAACAATATAGAAACGAATACAATATATTAACATTTTTCATTATATAAGTACATGGATATAAATATATGTATCTTTTTGTATGTTTTGTTTCATTTTTTATATTGTGATAGAGCCTTACTGTGTAGGTCTGACAGGCCTAGAAATCACCCTATAGGCCATAGTGGCTTCAGATTTAGAGATCCGCCTCCCTTAGCCTCTTGAATGCTGACATTAAAGGCATGAACCACCACCACTGACCAAATATATTTCATCTTTCTAACCATTTAAATGTCAATATCTAAGCTTGTGTTTCATGTACTTATATGCACATGTATTTTTATTTGCATATGAATCTATATACTTTAGAACTATCCAAGGCATTCATTCGTTCAGTAGTATTGGAATAAACAAATTTTTGAAATATTGTTTGATTCAACAGCTAATCTAATGTTAAGAGTTAATGTTAGCGGCTGGAGAGATGGCTCAAAGGTTAAGAGCCCTGACTGCTCTTCCAGAGATCCTGAGTTCAGTTCCCAGCAACCACATGGTGGCACACAACCATTTATAGTGGGATCTAATGCCATCTTCTGCAATAATATGTACATGAAGATAGAGCACTCACATTAAAAAAATCTTGAAAACAAAAAAAATTAATGTTAATTTTCAAGCTCCAATTTAGAAGGATATGAAAAAGCTAATCACTACAATTTGAAAGTTACCTTAATGTCTTACTCTGTAATCATAGTTTAGTTTTTATTGACTAGGGTCATTCTTGTTTGTTTGTTGGTGACTGCTTTCTCTTTGAGTTCTAATTCACTTGAAGGAAGGGAGAAATGAAATCCAGCGAGTTCCCTCTTTCTTTCCTTTTTATTAACTCTGACTTGATTTAAATGTACAATTGAATTACTCTACCTACATCTAAAGTTCAAAGGTTATAATTGTTAAAGCTACAAATATTAATGTTGGAGATGGTTATTTTGAAATGGCTTATGAAGATCTTTGTCAACTTACTTCTGCTGTTTAATTCGGATTGAGCTCTAATGAATTCGGGATAAAATAATAAAAGAAGTAAAATCCAGTGTAGCAGCCCAGGCCCATCATATCAGCTGCTAAGGAGTCACAATAGAAGGATCCCAAGTTCAAGGCATGCCTTGGCTATATGGTGAATTTGAGGCTGGCCTGGGAAACATGGCAAAACTATTGTCTTAAAATTTTAAAGTAATTTGGGGTACCTCTGGTTTAATATTTGAAGACTTTTTAAAAATCTAAAAATGGTGTTGCACTTGCATGGTGGCCCATTCTTGTAATATCTTCACTCAGGAGGCAGAAGCAGGAAAAGCAGACATTCAAAGCCAGTTAGGGCTACAACACAAGATTCTCCCGACTCTTTTTTTAGGCCCAATGAGGTGGTTGAGAGGCACTTTCTTCCAAGCCTGACAATCTGAATTCTGTCCCCAGGATTCATATGATGGAATGAAATAATCTTTTCCTGAAAATTTTCATTGGCTTCCACATATGCACAATGCACACCATACACAAAATAAAGTGTGATTTGTTTTTCAAAATTAAATACATGGAAAAAAGCCTTGGGCTATATAGCTCAGTGGTAGAGTGCTTGCTAGCATGCAGAAGGCCCTGGGCTCTGTCCCCAAAGTCACATACACAAAAGAATGATTACATTTTGATTTTGGATATTATATTAATTTGTTCTGGCAACCATGACAAAATACACTGATCAAATAGATTAAATAACAGAATTTTTTTTCTCAGATTTCTGAAGGCTCTTAAGTCCATGGTCAAGGTCCTGACCTTCCTTCCTCTCTTGTAGACCACTGCCCTCTATGATGTCCTCTAATTGTCTTTTCCTCTGTATTTTTAGAGCAAGAAATCTCTGGTATTTGTTCTTTAATACTGCTTCTATTAATTATGTCACACTCTCATGACCTCATTTCACTGAATTTCTTATAAAGACTGAGGCTTAGAGCTCTACCATGAATTTCAGCAGAGAGTACAGGGGATGAGATTCTTGTGGCTATGGCAGAGATCTTCCTCACCTCTCTGATTCTTTTTATTCTTTTACTTCCTAGATTTTAGAAACTGTTAACTGAACACTAACATTAAATTCTCTTACTTCCTCGGACCCTTTAATATTTCATACCTTCCCAAACTCTACTAGTATCTATTCAAAGACTTTTCTTTTTGTTCTTTTATCATTTATATTGCCTACTTTATACCCACTAAGAAGTCCACTATTCAAACAAACAAATGAAATAAGGAAAGTAAAATTCATTAGCAAGGATCTGGGCAATTGGACACCCTTTGTCCTGGGGAGGAGAATGTTTATGGTATCACTACTGGGATGCTTGTTCTTCAGTGAATTAAAGCTGATATTAACCACATGACCCAGGTGTTCCATTTCTGCATATGCTGATTTGTTTATATCCTCCTAATACTCATAGTTTGAAGCACCAATTCTCCCATGTAATGGCATGTGGGAATGAGACCTTTAGGGAGGTAACTAGAGTTAGATAATGTCCTGCAGGTGGACCCTGAATAAGTGGATCAGTGTTCTTGTAAAAGGTGCCTAGAGAGCTTCTATTGTGTTCAGTAAAATAAAGTCACACTGTCACACACACACACACTTTGTCTCCACTTATTTGTGGTTTCTGCTGTAATCTGATTCATAGAGAAAGTAAAATGGGAGGAGGACAAATGGGGAGTTGTTGTTTAATTCTTTCAGAGTTTCTTTTTTGCAAGAGGAAAAGTATTCTGAAGATGGATGGCAGTGTCATTGGCACAAAATACATAAATGTACTTAACGCTAATGACCTATATGCAGTCATGTGTTTCATAGCAGTGCTTAGGGTATTTAGGGGCCTCAGGTACTACAGTCATGAGATTGTATCGTCTACCAACTTTTTACCCTTCTTAGTTTGTGTGGACGTACCCTGTGATATTCTTATAACAATGAAATACCTCATGACATGTCTCAGAATATAACTCATTGCTACGTAAAAGCACAGTTATAAAGTGATTAAAAGAGTACATTTTGTTTTATGGATAATTTATCACAATTGATAAATTATAAAAGATTTCAACACATTTATTTAATAATGACGTAACATGTGCAGGTCAAGAATGTGGGCTTGGGCTATAGTGGTCCATGCCTTTAATTCCAGTGCTCTGGAGACAGAGGCAGGTGGATCTCTGAGTTTGAGGTTAGGTTAGTCTTCATAGTGAATTCTGGAACAACCAAGTTTGTACAGATAAACTCTGTCTTGAAAACTAGGGCATTGGGGTGGGAGCTTGTTCTTGGGAGCTTGGGAATACATTAGAAGTGGATTTAAGTTGAAGGGCTTTATTTGTTTGTTTGTTTGTTGTTTGTGCTATTTGAGTGGCTTTAAAGCTATGAACAGTTTATTCAGCTTGAGGGTGGGGGATAGCTACCTCTATCTCTAGGTAAGATGAAGTCCTAGAGTGGATGGAAATTGTGAGAATTAAAGTACTTAATGAATTTTAGGATTATACTACTTTTAACTGGGCACACTTTTAATCCTAGTACTTGGGAGGCAGAGGAGGTGGATTTCTGTGGGTTTGAGGCCAACCTGGTCTACAGAGAGAGTTCTGGGACAGCCAGAGATACATGGTGAGGTCCTGTCTCCAAAAAAGAAAGGAAAAAAAAAAAGGATTATACTACTTTTAAGTGATAGTTTAAAAAGTACTGGAGCTAAACACATTAACTTACATCTTTAAGAATTTTCTTAATCTGGAGGTGAGGGAGATGATTCCGTGGTTCAGAGCACTAGCTGCTTTTGCAGAGGACCCAGGTTCAATTTCCAGCACCCACACAGCAGCTCACAACCACTTGCAGGGCATCTAACACTCTTTTCTGGATGCTGTGCTCACTTCGCACACAGACATACATACAGGTTGGTTTGTTTGTTTTAGTTTTTATGCACATCAAATTAAAATAAAGTAAAACAAAGAACTTTCTTTATCTTACAAAACTTAAATGTTTTGTTCATAAAGAGTGCTTCCAGATTAGAAATGCTAGCTTCTTCCTTGAATCTTTCAGTTGAGTTGAATATCGTTGTCTTTTTACTTTTCTAATGTTTCTGGCTACCTTTCCTTTTTTTCTGATTAGTGAACTAAGTCCATTTTCATTGAGGTTAGGATAAGCTTCAAAAGCTGGATTTACAAGGACCTTGTTCTAGGAAGTTTGTCAGGTTTTCCAGCAAATACTGATAACAGAAACTGTTTCTAGTATTCAGTGGCTATTTGTAGAGTGTCTGCTATCTGTGTTAGTCAGGTTAGGTAGTAAACAGTGACCTAAGATACCTGTCCCCTCATAAAATATAGTCTTAAAAAAATGTATAGTCTTAGA